TCTACTGATAGTTCTATGATACTCGTATAATTTATTTAAATTGTATTACAATTTACAGCTTAAAGATGGAGAGTGTTTTCAAATATTTATTAATGAAGCTCCTTTAGACTTTCTCTGATTGCTTGGTATGTTTCAAAAAGAGAAGATTTGCAATTAATTAAACGTATCGCCTTTGCCAGTTCTAAACAAGTGGCAGACGAATCTATCGACGGAATCGTCATCGCTTGCGAAAACATGAGATAAAATGAAAAAGCAACGTCTGATGTCTCATTCTATTTCATGGACACGCTTACAATAACGATTCTAACGATGGATTCGCTTGCCACTTGTCTAAGGGGAATTGAACAGGTTTTGTTATTTATTTTTGCAATCGATGGGCTGTTCGAGCCATATTAATATTGCAATGATTGATGCAGGATTTTATTGATGAAGTAAAATCTACGTGTTATTTCTGAAGTTCATTAACTATAATATTGTGTATATTTATTTACACTTTACATTTACATTGTATAACATAATGGGAAGTAGAGAGTGTTTGACGAGTGAAATGAAAAATCATTAAATTTATTAATACGGGAAATAATTACATTTTCGTTGTAAATATCCTGTAGTAATGTATAATAAAAATCTTGTGAATGGTATTTTTGTTGAACAGACTGTATATGTTTTATTCAAATAAATACGAATAACTAATACGGAGCATAAATAGTTTTATAAAAACTATTAATTATGTGCTATCTAGTACTCCATTTTTCCAGAATAAAATAAAAGTAAATAAAATAGTAATAAAAAAAAGCAAATAACAGTTTCCAAAAATATTCAGTATTTAATAGCCATATTCATATTTAAGAGAATAATAATAAAGAGCACTTACAAAGTGAAAAGGATATAAGAAAATATTTATTATCGACATCAATTTACAATACTATAATTTAAAAATAAAAAGGTACCTTTTTAACTTTCTATATAAATTCATATTAATACTAGTAGGCATCTAACTATACCTAACTATAGCTATATACTGTGTTTTTTTTTAACTAAATAATGAACTTAAATATATATTTAATTGCAGTCGTATGTTTGTACTGAACAAAAAGAATAAATAAAACGTGTGTGTAAAGTCTTTTATTTAATTTTGGTTCTCGAATTCCACTTCTTATACTTCTAATATTTATTTTGAAAAAAATTTAAAGAGAAAGCATAAATAGATTTTATTTCAGTAGAAGCACGTAAGATAGAATAAAATAAAATAAAAAACAATACGAAAAATCTTTAAAACATGAGATACCAGACAACGAACATTTATGGCACAATACTCGTATTCAAACTAAACACCTGCACTTTAAAAACATGATTTTTACATAGGTGTGTATTATAAGAACTTAAGTGAGTACTTCACAAAGGATTTTTGGAAATGCTCATAAGGAAATAACGGACGTTCTTTGGGCGAAGTCGAAGTAAGCTACTAGTTTATTATAATCCTTTCAATACTGTGAGAAGTCAATAAAATGTATAGCTAATTGCAGTGCAAGCAATTTTAATTGTATTGGCAGCAAAAATTGCTTGTTAGTCTGCAATCAAACCGCTAGCGAAATGTAGGCTTGTTTACTTTTCCCTGGTACCTATTTTGCTAGTTGTGGAAAAACAGGTATACGGCTAAACAAAAATGTGTAAAAAAATATGCTCTCCATCATGATCTCAGATTTGTAGTCAAGAGAAATTTTGTAGATTGTTGTCTGTTGTGATGAACGTAGGTAACACTCGATTTTTTTTATATTTTGTCGAGATGAGATCTTACAGTCGGTATAGCAAATGATTTTAGTGAAATGTGAATTAACATACCTATATAGTTCGAAGAACCGACATGCTTACGTTTTATAACGGTTAACATTTTCCATCAGGAAGGACGTTACTTTGTTTGTTCATTGCATAAAAAATATTAAATAATACTCCAAGTGTCTAATTGTATTTAGACTTTTACTACGTCAGTTGCAATTTTTAATTTTTGCATATTGTTGTAATTCTGATACAGACCGTGACCGCGTTGTGCTGTATCCGGACGTGACGTCACGCCCGCCATTACACGGGTACAGGGTTGGATTGATTTAGAAAGCTCCATAAAATCTAATATTTGACGCAATATAAAATGATTTGGACGACCAGAAATAACACGTAAAATGAAATTTTTATCCATATTATACTGCCATTATTGTTACTAAGGGTAAATTGAATAAAGGACATTTTTGAAATTATATGGCGCTATGGCAAAAGAATGACGAAAATTATGATTAATTAAATCACATATCAGTAAAAAATAAATAAAACATTTCACTAATTTTGAAATTTTGCTTTAAATTATCTTTATTTATAAAAAATCAATAAAATCACACGTCTCGATTCTAACGCCATTTCATATTTCGTGTCTAATTTTGTTTAGTGACCAATACCAACCTTAAGATGGAAAGAGGTAATAAGAAAGCAAATAAAAAACAAACTCATATTTTCAATATTAGTATGGATTGATCCCGTTTACGTATGATAATGGTTGCAAGCCGGCCCTGTGTGTTCAGCATTGCGCGGTACTCTCATACACTACTTGATATTCCTATCCGCGCTCCACCACATTTCACCCCGGCACCGGCTGCTCTTAGGATCCCCAACTTTGTTATTTCATGTAGGCATTTCTTTCTCTGAAAAATATTAGTTGTGTTGCGGGGTTAAATGTTTACAATTTATCTTGGCTGGTTAGTGTTGCAAAAGAGATATAGCTCAAACAGGACTAAATTACACATTGGATTTTAACAAATAGGCTGTCGTATCTTTGACTACATGGTGATGACTATGTTTTCTTTGTTAGGCTACAATATCTCCATTTATATCATTATCATCATATCAGCTTTTAATTGCCCACTGCTGAACATAAGCCTCTCCCTTTGGGGGTTTTGCCAATATTTGCCACGCTTGACAGGCGGATTGGCAACCGCAGTTAGGCTTTGGCGATGTTTTAAGAGAAACGTTGCTATCTATCTCTCGCCCTCCCTTAGTCGCCTCTTACGACACCCACGGGAAAGGAAGGGGTGGTCTATTCTATGGCGGGACCACACGGCGAAATATCTCTAGTATCAAGTAATAAATATTTTAAGCTGCAATATCAGTTGCTATCAAACGTAATAAATATTATTAATAGTTAGTAATACGAGTGTAAATAGAATTACAACTGCGCTATGCAAATCGAAGTATAACAAATGTACCCAATTAAAACATCCGGAGGGAAGCGCACGTTCACCGCTAACCGAGCATCCAGTTCAACCGAACTGAACATTGTATATAAACAAAGAGTTTTCAGTTAACCCCTGAATCCTCTCGACGCTTCATTTTTTTGGTTGCAACTTGAATTGTGGCTGTGGCTTGTTTGACTTGACCTCGATTCGATTCTGAGCACTAATTAACATCTATGTTTAAAACCGAATAAAAAGCAATCAAGCGCTTCTCTGAGGAATAAAAATCAACAATCTTTATTATATAATCTGTTGTTTATACGAGTAAGTAGTCGATAAATAAGATTAATAAAAATATACAATTAATGTAAAATTTTACAGAAATATTATATTAGCATTGAAAAAATTGTTTATCGGATTATTTCTAAGTAAAATTATCTAAAATTAAAACACAAAAGCTAGTTTCTGTGAAATATAGACGCGTTCGCGTGTAATTAGTAGCGGGAACGCTACATTAGTACTTGGCTTTCTGACGTGTTGGCACTCTTCAGAGGTCTAACCGTTTGATGTGCGTATTACTAAGGTGATTTATCGCTCATTACCAAGTCAGAATCTTTATTTATTTACATTTCACATATTTGGGTTACCAAGTGAATTATGATGTAGTGAAAATGTTTAGTACACAATGTACGTGGTATGATGATTTTCATACGCTGACGTTTGATGTAAGGCCATTGTTGTTAGTAGTTCATAGAAAGTATATACAGATATATTTGAATTGTACCCAAATCGTATGATTATAAATTTTATTATTATAGTGAATATATAATAGAGATATCTGGAAAAATAAAAAGGTGCTTTTTCACAATTGTACTTGTGCTTTTTCACAATTGCAAAAATATGACAAAAAAATTTAAAGCTCACATACATGACGCGTTCAGTTGCCAAATAAGCATGGGGGCTAAAAATGATTTTTGATGTTAGTCGACCTACATTTCTATAGGAAAAATGTTTAGATTCGCTCATAGAAAAAATGTTAATGAAATGATTTTGAAGTCATTGTTTACAATACAATATTGGTAGGTACGGGCATAAAAACCATAGGCATAATGCATAATGATAACATAAGCGTTGGTACATGGCCACAAGGGTACTGCTACATTGGCTGAGTTTACGACGGCGGGCACGTGACGTCACGTCCGCTGAACGCGTGCGGGTCATGCGACCCCGCAGTGCCATATGATTCCTTTATCTTTTCTTGCACTTTTCAGCTTTAAAATATTTATGATAACTCGACTCTAAGATAAGGTTACCTGACGTTGGAACGGCTGCACTCAGACTGTATCTAAAAGTGTTTCTCGTGCTTTTGTGGTTTAATTTAAATTTATAATTTAATTTTGTAGAACATTTCTTTTTATCGGAAAATGCCATAAGTATTTTAGTTTTATAGAATCCGATGGTTTACTTGGTTTAGATTTATAAAATTTATAAGATCTGAGTCGAAAGAATTGTAGCGTAGTTTTTTTTTATACTATTATGGTGGTAAACAAGTTTACGGTCCATTTGATGGTAAACGAGGTTATCGCAGTCTAGGGACGCCTGTAATATCAGGGATATCGCGCGCGCATTGCCAACCCTTAAGAAACCTTATTACATTCTTTTTGAAGAAAACCATGCTGTAGTCTCCAGGGAAAATCTCGGGAGGTAGATTATTTCATACCCTAAGCGTTCACTGGAGAAATCTCCTCTGAAACTGCACTGAGCGAGACGATTTGGTTTTAGGGTGTGAAGATGGATTCTCTGCCGATGGCGAGCAAAGGTGGCCGTAGGCATCATGTCGAAGAGTTTTTCAGAATACAGTCCGTTATACAGGCGGTAGAAGGCACAAAGGGGAGCAAATTCTCTTCTTAAAGAAAGGGGCTAATACCACCTTCTAGCTTTGGATTGTTGACAATTCTCATAGCATGCCTCTGAACCAATTTAGTACAAGTTGCTATGCAGGAGCTTCTGTCCACAAGTGAGTGGGTAGGTCACTAGTTTTCAAAAATTTGTGTTTCAGTAACATGTCTCTTAGTGTGATGAAGGTTGTATGCACAAATGATTGCTATACCTAATATTGAGGTCTTGGCGATATTAGATATAAATTTTCCACTAACTTTAAAGCAAAAGCTACAATGTTTTAATTAAACAAAAAATACTCGTTAAAGATCAAATGTGTCGCCAGTAAATAGTACCATTCTTTTTGATAGCATGATAAAATTGGATTCTACGAATGTAATAAAAATAGAAAAAGTTAAAGTTATACATGTTAGAATTAATTTAAATCCTGATAAGAAGAAATTATGAAATAGTTTTATTTATAATGCATACACATTATTAATTCTACTTGAATATTTTCAAAAGACTTTCATATATTAAATATTTTTTATTATCGCAAAAGTATTCCTTTTTTTTTACAAAGGAGAGTAAATTTAATAAGACGCATATTTTGCAAATAATTTCCAAATTCTTATAAAGCTATAGCAATAAATCGAAGTTATCTCTGACGTAAATTCACTCGTATGTAAAATTCACAAAAGCGTAGGTATTGTACACATCAACTTACGCAGAAACAATTCTTTGAATAATGCGAGCATAAGGAGGCTAACACAGATCGTAATTTCAATCCGTTAGAAACTCCGGGATTGTTCTCGTTTCGACACGCAAATAAAGATTTAGCAAGTTGGAACTGAAGTTAAACGCCTCTAAATTTAGGAGTAGCAATCTCCCCCGCGTACAATTTGTTATGTAAAGAGTGCAGACTTCCGTAGAATAATAATATAACACGAGTTTAACAAGATATAGGCTGTTATAAAAAATTCACTACACTCTCGGCTCGATTTAGTTTTTCTGACCTTTTTTACGATGCGTCGACGATTACAGCTCCATGCGGCAGTTTTTTCATAAACATACCAGCGTATGAATAGAGTTTGAATCGTTTTTGCGACACACCAACTTTAATTTCATTTCAAACTGGAAGTTTTCCTAAATATGCTTGTTTTCATACTTTTATGAATAAACTTTCCGGAATTTGTTCGACGGCTGTTTATTGGGAATCTATAAATTTAAGTGAAAGCACGACAGACTTTGAAGTTTTGGATAGAACACAAAACATTTTGATATATTATGATTCACAGTAATTAGTACAGAATCATGTTATCAGTAACAATGATCACATCATTAATTATTAATACTAACCATTAACCATTGATATTATAATAAAACAAATTACTGCTAATACACAAAGCTTGTGGCTGAGTTAATTACGAAAATTACCTGCTCAAGGGATTCATGAAATGCTTAATCTTAATATGTGTTAATCGTGTCGTAATAATGCAGGGTAGGGGCTAAATAAATATATTAAGAATAAATTAAGGGAATCAATTTTTATAAAAAAAGGAGAGTAATAAAAACATAAAATTCATTTAAAATAGAAGAAATAAATAAGTTAAAATTATGTAAAAAATATTCTGTCGACAACAATTTATATTTATCATTAATGTTTTCGACCAAATCCGTAGTTAAAGTGAACGTTCCACGACGAGGTCTACGGAATAATTGTTTTTGGATTTTTGAATGTTCCATGTTCCGTTTAATTACCCGCGACCCAAAACAGAAGGGTATTATACGCTTAAAACCCTCATCTACCTATCAGTACATCCGCTTGTGGCTCCCTTTGTAAAAATTAAAATCAGTCTTATTTTTTGTCTAAAAATATGCAAGTACGAATAAAGTACATACTTATATATTTTTGAATAATATTATAAAACTTTATCTGCGTATTTAATGCAAGTGACGGTTAACAAATTAAAATATATTCAGTAGCTGGTCCTACACATATCAGCCGTTAACTGTCCAATGCTGAACATACGCCTCTCCAAAGAAGAGTGGGAGGGGGGTGGGTGCAGGTTGTCAGTAGTTATGACATAAATTACATAATAGGTATAGTAATTAACAAAGTTTATATATATAAATGGAAGAAGAAATTTAATAAAAATAATCATAAGTTTTAAAATTTAAATAAGTTTTTGAAAAATATCATAGTTCGTTTATTTAGGCAGCATAAACGCTGAACGTAATGAATAAAATTTTAATTATGGCTTTTATACTCAGCACTCCGACTAGCTTTATAGTTGTAATAAAGTTTTTTATTTTTCAGTTTAATTATTATAGATTTAGCGAACTTACTTTGGATTATAAATCTGATTTTAAAGTAATATATACTGAAAAATTTTCATTGTTAATATTATTATCTATTAGCTGTATTCCGGGGCTTGGCTCACAGGAATCAGTATTCTTTGAGATAATTTAGGATATAACCTACTTGTATATCAAATTTCATCTAAATCCGTTCTGTAGTAAAATTAAAAGCGTGAAAGAGTAACAAATATCTATCTGTCCATCCGTGCAAACCTTCGTATTTGTAATATTAATAGATTATTATGATATTTTTTATTAAATGTTATTATTAAGCATATAATATGTTTTCTTTTTACAGAGAGAGATCCATGTTATTAGTATAATGTGGTATATTTATCTGTGCCCGTGCCCAATTGGTAGGCAGAGAGTACAAACAAAATTTTGCATTTTAAAGGCTTGCGCGGAATATGGATAACTTTTTACGCAAACACCTTTTTACGCAAAAAGCGTTGTTGCTTAATTGTTAGAGAATCAAATTAAACATTAACAAATATTTTAAATTGATACTTTACTTGGACCAATAGAGGATACATAAATATTCAGCGTGAGGCTATTTACTCACACCGCGCCATTTTTTTTGTATTTAGCATTTTTACACCAATCGTAACGAAAGAGTTTTTAAATCCATTATGTAGTTTTTGAGTCTATCCATTACAAACAAAGAAACAATCCAATCTTTCTTCTTTATAATATTAGTGTAGATATCGCAATGAATTCTAGATAGAAATACGACTTCAGTAAGTCATTATAAAATGTATGGTTACAAACTTGAAATTTAAGCCAATAGTCGAAACTTTTTTAACTTCCTACAGTGTAATTAACTTGGTTGCGCAATCGAGTTAATTGCATTAATTTATAACTTGTGACTTTTAGGGTAGGGTTAGACCCTCTTCTTAGCGGAGTAGAGTACTCGGCGTATTGTACTATATTGTATTTTTGTTCGTTGAAATAGGAAATTCTACTATCATACTGTACTAATATTTGAGCTAGTTATGCAGAAAACAGCCTCATTACCTGGGACGGTCATAAGAGATGGTTGTTTCTTTTATTATGAGTATAAATTAGGAGTTTGTTTGTGATTTATCATGTTCAAACAACTTTATGTATTAAAATTAAATTTAGTATCTATATAAATAGATAATATTCTGAACTTTGTATATTTACTAATCACGTGGGAAAAGCCCCAGTATGCATCTAGTAACATATAAAAGTCCGTATAAGTCCGTAACTAAAACATAATGGAGAATTTTGTAAAAGTCCTTAAATTTAATGCCAATACCAATGTGGACCAATGATCTGGAACTAATAAAAGTAGCAAGTGAAACAACGGGCACGTCCTCGTATTTCTTGGAAAACTTTAATCTGTTCTGTTAAGTTGTTGTTATTATTTTTGCAAAGTTTAAATTCTTAAAGTTTGTTTCATGATTTTTCTTTGCTTACAAATTGTCCTTATTATATATAGGTTTTATTTTATGATATGGATTTACGATAAGTACATTTTGGTCCTGTGGTTCCGGCATAGAATAGGCCACCCCTTACTTTCCTGTGGGTGTGGTAAAAGACGACTGGCGTGGGATGGGCAGCAGCGTCCTTTTTAAAACTTCTTTATAGCCTGACTGCGGTTGCTAATCTGCCTACCAAACGTGACAACTACTGGCAACACCCTCAAAGAGGGAGGCTTATGTTCAGCAGTGGACGGTTAAGGGCTGATATTATGATAGTATTTTGGAGGCGAATGGAATTGTTTCCATTTCTTTAGTTTATTAGGTTTGTTAACGGTGTTTCTATTATCGAAGCGTTGCAAAATTATAATGATCAAAGTTTTGGTGTTAACCAAATTTAAAGTCATGACACTAAAGTATTTTTGGAGACGGAGAATTAAATCACTCTGCCTGAACTTTTGCAAAAATAATAACATTGTAAATAGACAATGTCTATACAAAGAAGATATCTTAGAAAAAGTTATATGAAGGATCTTTACGAGTATAAGAACAACAGAAGTTAAAACAATAATTTCTATAATTATTCTTTGTTTGTCTGTCTGTTTATCTGTTCAGCTATCATGCAAAAACTACTGTACTAAATTAAATACATTTTTCATAGTTATCTTCCTAAAGATCTAACTTAAAATCTGGGGTATAATTTATCTTGATGTGTATGTCATATAAAAATGATTACTTACATCCAAAATACGCTCTTACAAAATTGCGGGTGAAAGCTAGTTGATAATGGACCTTACGAATTATTATCTTTTTTATACAAAACGTACTTATAGATTTACAAAAGTGGGACAACACAGCGATCTGCATATTTCAAGAAATTGTGTTAAGAATTCGGTATTAATAAAACTGGAATCTGAATGTACCTTGAAATAATTTGATACAAAACGACGCTCTTTGATGTGGCAACACTTACAGACACATCTGGGATATGTCTTTCAAAATGTCGAAGCGACCGATTTGTACGTTAGCGGATTTACCGGATCAACGTTTCGTTTAAGTGGCGCTCATGTGAAAATATCTAGCGGTTAGCACTTACATATAAATAACATTTGCTTCTCATAAATATATTAAATAGCTTTATATCGGCAATGTTTAATTAACACACAAGGATACGCTTATTAAACGTAATAAATATATCCCGTTGTATACTTGTAGTACTAGAGAGCGTTTTGGTACAGTGGTATATCCCGACTTATATGATCTGTTTATGTCCATAGGCAACAGTTACCATTTCTCATCAGATGGTTTTTTTTTAATGGATAATATTGGAGCGGTAACCCTGCCTGTGTTAACGGTGTACGCCTGAGGCGTTGGTAATGGATGATAGTTGAGAATGAAAATGCAGGTCAGTTAGCTCATCGCGATGAATACGTCTGGAATTCAGCACTATGGTTTCTAGGGGGACCACGTGAAAATCGACCTGATAGGGTATATTGCTAGCAATAGGACTGGTAGTTCGCATTACTAACAATCCCTTCCCCCTTCATCAGATCGGCTGTCGTCTTATTTGTCATTCTATATAGCATAAACAGCAATATACTTTATCAGGTTGATCTCCACCCCGTTCCCCTGAAAACCAATGCAGGTAAGGTTACTATTCTATTTTCAAATTTTAAAAAGTTGGTTAACAAAAATCTGTATAACTATGTGAATAGTTACATATCACTACCAACTTAATTAGAGTAAACATTGCGAACGCTTTTTACGAGTGGACCGAATGAAGTCTAGGCAATTTGCAAAGTGGAAGTCCTTTAAAAGTTCCGTCTCTAGGGGCACATACTGCGGAGTCATGGGTAGGTACAGCAGTCGCTGTGTTAGTAGCTAGGAGTGGTGTTTAGGATGGGAATGTTCGATGCCAGTGGGAATATGCTGAAAACTAGGTTGGCTGCTATTACTTACTTCACTGTATATGTATACTAAATGCATACCTACTTTAATTTAAGTACCAAGCTTCTTCGAATAAGTGTCTCTCTTCAGTTATACTCTAATAACAGCGTAGAACTGTTACTATTATTTGAGTTTGAGTTTACTGTTTAAAAATAACTATTGTGAGTCATACTGTTATATATAGGTATAGTAATTATTTTTATTCGGGGAAGCTGCACTATTTTCGAAAGTATAATATAAATAAGTGAAGGATATCTCATGAGTGAACTTCATGGTTGTGTCGCTATTGAGTTTTAGAACGATTGTAAGACCGATATGAATAATTACAATACTGCTTATTGCTAATTGATTGAATGAGGGTGGAAAGGAATTGTTATTAATAATTAGTTTAGTTAATTCTTGTGGAATTTGTCACGATGGGTTAACTAACCTGCTTTCATCCTCTCCTATTATCTATCACTGGTACCCCACCAGCGTATCCCGATAGCGCCGGCGCTGGGACCATTCCATTATCATCCATAAAAAAAAATGTTTAAATGATATGAAGATGGTGACAAGTATTTTTAGGCTGCTTTTGTCTAACATAAAAGCCAAGGCCTTTGGATATACCAGACGATGGCTTTACGTGTTTTCAGAAACACGAAAGAGTAACAATCATTTTTAAATGATTCAAATATGAACTTAATAAATTCAGGGTTAAGGCTGAGAGTAAATTTTAGGATTTTCGGATCACAGTTAAGTTGTTCAACTCAGCTGTAATATTGAATGATTGTGCAATTTGAGAGTTTAATCGCCTCCCACTAAATGCTTTTGTGTTCTACACACTTTAGAATAAAACTTTATTAATAACAAGAAAAGTAGTTTATTAGGTGCACGTATAATTTTCATATGCGTTGAAGTATCTATTGAAACTTCTTTGTGGCCATAATGTAAATTTAAGTCACTTATATATGTTGATATTATTTTTCTACACGGTTTTTGTTTCTAGTTAAATGGTTGTCTCGTCTTGTATCTACACGTATTATATATATTGTTGTTCTAAAGAATATTATTTTTCACTGTGACCCTCTATAGTATCTGCGGCGAGACGTTTGTATTTGTGGATTTGTTAAGTATAATGACCATAGTTTATTTATGCTTATGACTACTTATAGGTAGGGGCTTCATACACGTATGGGATTATAGGTTTGAGCATATTTATTTAGCCTTCAGGAATGGTAACACGTACCTAAGAGTATCCCTCGTAATGGATATCATCGTATTTTCTATAATATTTATGTTGTTCATGGTACTGTTCATGTTCATAGGCAACGGTTATCACTTTCCATCAGACAGGCCGTGAGCTTGTTCGCTGTTCAAAGTTTTATAAAAATATTTTTATGTATTTTGTTACTTTCATGAGAAGGTATTATTTATTAATGCATGCGTTGCCATTGCAGTTTTGAAAGTAAAAAAATAATGAAACCATGAAAAAAGAAATAGGCACCTAATCATTTTAGACTAGCTGTTGCCCGCGATTCTGTCCACGTGGTAGTTATTCCTATTTAGTATATATCGATGTATGTACCTAATTATTTATTAAATCTGGAAACATTGGACCAAAATTAACAAATAACGTGTCGTTCTCACTCTTTGCCTGAGGTCGAAATGACTACTTAAGTAGGTTCTGTACTAAGCTGTATAAGTTACTATAGCTTTTTAACTATCGCACGGTTATTTTTTAATTTTCCGTGATTAAAAGTATCTAAAATGTTGATCGGTGATGTAAGGTACCACCATGCAAAATTTCATTTAAATCGGTCTAACAGTTCTGGGGATTAGCTCGTACAAACAGACAGAGACACAAACATTTGAAAAATTCTGGATGTATTTATATATCTATTTCACATCTAACATCCCCTTGATTCGATTTTTAGTGTTTTATTTTCTATGTAAATTAGACCTCTACAGATTTATTATATGTATATATTATAATACTTACCATCATTGTAAAAAAAACAAAATTTATGACTGTTACGCCACTTTTATTATATCATATGTAGTTCTGATTACACCTTTGGGAATTATAGTCGTGAAATAATCGATAAACTAGCGAGATGATTTTGCCTGCTTTAAAACAGCGGAGACGGAGTGTATTATATCATATCCGCCAATTAGATACCATTACATTAACAACTACACCCAAAGGAGATTACTATCAAATTCATGAAATTAACTTTAGTTAACTGCCAACATAATTTCAACTTCGTTATGTACATTTCGGATCTAATGTGATATTAATGATATTCGCGCTAATTTGCTCGAGGCCGCAAAATGGGGTCATAGCAAGTTTTAACCGTCTAAATAATTAGTAGCTGGTTGGTCCCAGGCGGCGACTGTGCATGCTAAGACTCCAACTCATAGTGATAATTAGTTTGTATAGTTGCTGCTGCAGTTAGAGTTTCTATTCGTTGGAATTGCATAATTTGCGCCAAGCTTTTCGGCCACGGATAGGAATCTTCATATAGAGAACTTATTATCCAGAAGACTCGTGGCTCAGCTAGTCAGCATTTGTCAGTTGTTATCTACCTACCCAGTACGGCAGTTGCTGTCCATATTGATCTTGCTATCAGGTGTGATGATGATGATCTCCAATCCAAGTAGTGTTTGATTTTATTTTAATACCTTTACATTATCTACTGAGTGAAATAGAAATAAACGGCATCCAATAATTGCTATCTCGAAGATAAAAATGGTTAAAAAAAATTTAAAGCCTTTTATATTTTATATTACCTAACATCACGCAATCAGTTATTATGTTAGTATGGAGAAATACTTTTTGATTCCAATATATTTTTTTTAGGAGGAAAATATTCAATTTCATTGGCAGAATTACTTAGGATGCTAATTTCGATTTCACTTTATATGTGTTGTTTCATACTTAATCTTATGTTAATCATGTCTCATTCTTTCCACGAAGATATTGTAAACACATGATGAATATAAGATCTAAATATGCGTATTCAGCAGACATTACATTCTATACGTGTGTCAGTTTTCGGTTAAAACTGAAATGTTTGTTTCTGTCATTTTTAAGTCTCCCTGTTATCTATAGATCAAACTTAAGTCCATTATTTTATATTGTGTGACCAAAAAATGAAACACACAGTGTAATATCTTGCTTCTATTTCATTTACAATAAATTGAATATATAGGTACACTGTGTGATGTTATTTCACTATTAGTTGAGCGGCGCGGTATTTGTCTACTTCTTGTCTATGATTTAGTATGAAAGTTTTATTGTTCGAATCTTGTTCAAATATATTAAGTTCTAAACTTTAATTTGATTATATATGAATTATTTAGTTAATTGATGGAAACAGATAAGCGTTGTATAGCTGCTGATTTTTATTCTGTAAGAAAACTATCTACCTAAAAATGTATTAATTATATTGTATTTATATTCTACATTGGAATTAAATTATGACTTCAAAGAAATAAATAAACAAGAATATTAATTTGTCACATATGTTTATTCCCAATCTTTGGACCCTATAATGCTTTAAAACTAATAATAACATAAATACAACACTGCCATAAGTTAATTATTCAAAATTAGGAGACTTCATAGCCATTTCACTGATAGAGATATATTACGTCGTCTATGTAAAACCAATTCATTTGAGACATCAATATAAATACAATAATTAATTATTCAAAGTTAGCAAATTCGTTTTACAAGAGGACGCATGAAAGCAGATAAATCTACAAAGCAATGTTCTAAAAGCTCAACCGTCATTTATATCTAATTTCAGTTATCCTAAACTAGACACACCTATAAATTTTAGTACTAAATTTTGAATATTACAAGATCATTGACAGAAAATACGAAACATATTGAGTGAATTGCGAGAAACAACAAGTTGTATGATAAATTATTTAGAGGCATAAATCTGTCAAACCAAAACTAAGTTTGTGTATATTTGCCATATGTAGAATAGAAGTATATTATAGACCTATCGACAGTTTTGTTGGAGACTTGGCAACTACGCTTCTATTCTGCGACTTAAAAACAGGGTTGTCAGTTGAATAAAAACTTCGATTGAGGATGAGCTCAAATTTATTTGAATTAACAATGACGTCTCCAATGCCACAATACTCCATGAAGTAAGAAAAGAAATTAATGAACATCTATAAAAGTTGTAATAATGATAATTAAGCTAAATTTATCACTATTTTTACAATGTCATTATGTTTTTCTTAAACCACAATAACACTTTACCTCTGCTCTAAAAGCATTTAAATAATCCAAGTCACACAAATCTAACAATTAATTACTATCTATATAGTTTGTATGGTTTATTTGCTCGATATACAAATAAGTTTCGGTGATGCGCTAAATTGTCACCGAAATGAAACAATTACATTAATACTGAATCCAAAGCGGACTGTTAAAATTAATTTGGTAAATAAGCCATATTGATTTATTAGTCTAAAATAATAACAATAAAAATAATAATGTTTAAATTCTACAGCCATTAGTAAATAAAAACGAACTTGCGCGACACTACTCGGGTACTATGCAAAGGTAAATGATCCACATTTCATAATACAATCTAACCGACATTATTTCATCAACGTACGAAAACAACACTTAGTATGTATTTGATACTCCAAACGATTATTTTGTTTCTTTATTCTATTCATATGTATCTCTTAGAATAGTATTTAACTAAATTTATTAAGGGGCACAGAATTGATATGTTTCCGATGCACGGCGTTTGTGTGATACCGCTTCACTTAAACCTAACTTGCAAGGCGATGCTACACCCCTACTCTACCCTATCACATGCGGGCCAATGTCACGCGTCTTGCTACCACGACAATCCAAACACCATCTCTCGATTTCACAGTAAACGTTAAGAAAATATCTACTATTCGTGGCTGTTTTGATATTAAAAACGAGAAGTATGTGGAAATTGTTTTAGATTAAAATACACAAATTCAAGCAAATGTTCCGGTAACATAAATATAATTTGGATTTAGCGTGACATATAGCCGATTGCATTACAAGTAGTAGACGAGAATACAGAATAAACGTCTCTATGAAACCGCTCTTTATTCCTAATTACACATTAATATTACACGATGATATGTATCGAGTAGTCCCGCAAAAGGTGACGTAGCCGTGTCCGCAGCCACTGGACGTCTCTTACTCGCTATCTACGGTTGTTGGACGGAATCATGGCGGCGTAGACGTCCCTTACGCTTCCAGCATACTCCATCCGCTATCTAATAACGAGCGCCATTTTATCGCATAATTTGTGTCATGAAAATGGCGGATGGAATTATGCGTACAAACCAAAATTTTTAAATCAATCGATGGCTTTAAGATAAATTATAGTACATTTATTATACTCGAAATACTTGTCAAAAGAGAGCTTTATTACTATTTTATTAAAGTCATCGATAGACCCAAAGCGTGACAACTGAAAAGAAAAACATAAACTTTTCGTTGTATTTTTAGTCCGCGAACAAGGACGCCGTACGCCGAAGGTATGGGAGATCACTACTACGTTATTACACAATAATTACTTACATACGAATTAGCATTATATCGAATTAAATAAGTAAACATTGACTTAGCTTAATTATTAAAACAGACAATGAATTACGCATATATAAGAGAATCTGACATTTAATCTAAGCGACACTCCTTTGTGTCACTTGATAATTGTATAAATCCCATTTTTCGAGACACCAACTTAACAAACTTTTAAAATATACAAATAATTATTGATTATGATAATAGCAATGGTAGGTAACAATAGAAAAAGAATTAAAAAAGTTTTATTGTTGCTATAGCCTGATGTGACCCGTATTATATATAGGCATCGACATTAACTTTAGTATGCGATAAAAATAATGCCATCATCGTCATATGGACCACGAGCTAAGAAGAAATATAACTTATGAAAAAGTTATTGCCAGTAAGTAGTACAAGTTTGCCTACAAAATATAGTTTGGTACGGTCTGAGGTTAGTATTAAACATTATGTAGTTATATCCTTTATCTTTGGTCTATACGCCACGACGTCGGTACATTGTGAAGTTATAGTCACTATAAACAACGTATAAAATTTTGCTAAGTCAAAAATTGACGAAATTTCTATTTAATATTGACTAAGAGATTTTCATAAGAATTCACATGCGGAATCTCCGGCCAGCGCCGGCGTGCGTTGGGCGCCGCCAGTCGCTTGAATACCTCATAGACATCTGTCGCGTCAAGATTTTAACCCAAATATCCAAAACCTTATTTATTATAGCCTAAGCAGGGATATTTTTTTTTACTTTTTTTTTGTATAATTTTTACATGTTTACATCAGCAGAATACGTTACTAGATACCTATTAGATTAGATTACTATTCATTTTTGGTTTATTGCTATTTCGCACTGATGTGTACTTATGTCGTTACTGTGTTTTTGTCAAACATCAAGTAACGCAATAGTCAATCTGTATGCGACAGTCAACTAGCTAAAAATAAAAAATATATTAATCTTCCATTTGATTAATCCTAACATTTCAGTAAATTTAAATTTCATTACATTGTTTCATTATTATGTATGAATAACTTTCATTAAATAGTAATGTAACTATGCTGATTCTCTACAATAAATACCCTTATCTAGTTTTATCGTCCTAACGATTACACAATAAAAGTATAATTATTAAATTTTAAATTAGATTATTACCAAAAAGCTCGTCGAAGCATGCAGATAGTAGAGTAATTGTTTCACTATTCAGCAATGGCGTGTACGACGCCACGTTATTACTATTAATTAATATAATGATTACATTTAATTATTTAACTCTCATAAGGCCAAGGCTAAATTCTCGCAACAAGACTGAACTTATCTCGATTGTGTCGCATCGCATACTAATCGCAGAAATAACGGGATCAGTAAAGTTTGACAACGAACTTCGTCTAGGAGCTCTGACAAATTGAAAATGTAATCAAGAAAATTTCGTTTGAATCGTAATTCCGCAAGGCACAAGAAATTTTGGTGTATTCCAAACAAAGGTTTAAGATGGGAGGGCGAGGGTGTCATGGATCACGGGTGAGGATCCACGAGATGGGATGGGACGAACTGGTAAGGATACGATGCGAGTGAGCGATAGTTCAGTGATGCATTGCACTCCACAGCAAGCGCACCGAGGGGCGACCCCGTCCTTTCGCGTCAAAGTCAGTAAAATCTTTATATAATTATTGCAATAATTCCATTTACAGATAGAAAGGATAGTATAAGACCAACACTAGAGTGCTAGCACTTTAACGAGTGATTGAACATTATAAAAATTACTAAGAAAGTATTAGGTAAATATAATTTGAAATAGTCATGAAATTCATTTAAATACGCTAACATTATTGAGGCTAAAACAAAAGTATCGTAATTATTACATACAACTTTATTTAAAATCATTTAACTTGAAATATTATTTAACAAAACGTAATCTTTCTATGAAGGGCACCTTTGGTTTTTAGCTTATTCGAATGAGATATATCCTAAAATGTTTAATTTCTGGTTATACGCTATATTCATAACAAATCCTCTCAATTGTATACATCGGCCTTGTAGAAACAAATATAAAACTTTCTCATACAATAAGTTAGTTGTAAATAAATCTTATGTTACAAAATAAATGAATAATAATAATAATATTAAATAAATACGTAGATTACGTTTACAAGAGAATAATTTCAAATTATATTACTTTTATAATTATGAACGGTAAACAATAAAACTGGAATGTTAATAATAATACAATCAACAATTGCTAAATTTGGTATAAAAGAAAAACACACCACACCTCTGACGCCGTTTGACTGAACGGAAAACAAAATTAATGAGGAGATAGAGCTTTCATTTAAAAAAAGTACACTCTTTAGTGGGTTAGATATCTCAAACCCAAATATCTTGATCCGATTTTAGTAGAAATGTGAGCATACGCTGTAGGTGTTGTTAGCTCCATCCCCAGTAGTGGTTCCGATGCGATTCAGAGGATCAAGATTGCGCGTCCCTCAGTTAGCTGGTTGTCAAGTGCCGAGAGCCACGAACGAACTAATGTTGTTCGCCCTCTTCTCCGCCTTTGGCTCCCTGCGAAAAATATTATAATGTTATTGGAGTACAAAGCAATAACTGATAATTACTGAATTAGATTTTTTATATTATATGCAGGCAGTAAGAGCTAGTGCAAGGTGCATCGGTGAGACATTATTGTTATTATGCTTCAATTAGGAATTGTAACTTTGGAACCTGTTGTAAATGTTCTATGGCATAGATTCTATGCCATTATAAATAATATAAGTCGCTATAATTAGAAAAGAATAATTTGAAACGATATTGCGACTAATATTTACTTATTTACTGAGATTACAATTTATATTTATGTATCTTCATTGAAGAGCATTTATACGTCGCATTTATGAACTTGTTTTAATTTATTACAGAATACCAGGATCCAAAGCTCATTCTACACTGACATTACACAGATTCAGGAAAATTAAACGGCGTGAATCTATGTCATATCATTGTACTAAAGATGTGCACGTGCATACTTCATGTGAGAGAATCCAGCCGTTGTGTGCCATCTTATGCCTTGCGTATTCGAGATGGATGGCGCCCTCGGAGCTGAGGAGGAGCGCCCCTTGCAGGCGGGCCATGGCAGCGCCGGCGTCGGTGGGGCTAGCGAAGTCGACGAAGGCCACCGGGCCCGAGCTGCCGCCGTTGCCGCCGGTCAGGAGTCGCAGGCGCGAGAAACCGGGGCAACTGTACCACCACACTTAGTTGTGCCCACGCCCGTAAACCCACAGCGATTTGAAGTGTGTATTGATGATAGATCACATTGCTATCAGGCTCAAATTTAGAATATACCCATATTGAAAAATATGAACTCTTGGGAATTAATAATGATATCGAGTTAATTGAATGAGTTAAAGAGACTAAAACAGAATAATAAAACAATATTCGATGTTGATGTCGAACAGTTAATTTCTATCATATAGCAGTATAAAAATTAATATCTACTGGAGCCCCTAAAAATATAAGGGCTAAATAAATTTGAGATCGATTCTATAACAGCCTGATCGAAAATTGTATCCGTGAGCTCGTTTACCTGAAGCAATGTGAGACTAATGATCTAGTCAAAATATTTGTGTTGTCTATATTTAAATAAAAATTTTCATCATATATACGTGTTTGTTTAATTTGTGTCAACTGAAAACTAACATATTCACGGACACTCAACGGCAATAGCCGTAATAATAATAAAATTTCTATTGTGTCTCGTTTAGTGTTCGTGAAACTCTTAAGACAATCGTATAGTGCAACATTTACATACCTGCTTGAAGTACAAATGTAACATTTATGATTCATTTGTGTGTAATAAGAGTGCTGATATACGACTAGTTTGTGATATGTGTAGTCCATTATCGCCATTACCGAAAAGTTGAATTCAGTACTCATATTTTGAATTTTGATATCATATAAATTACACTATTTATATTACGTGAAATATTTCATTTAAGCAAATTTTTTTTGTATATTCATTCTTATAAAAAAGAGAGCATTTAATTTTGTATAATGGTAAAATAAGTGACTCATTTATGTTATATAGTATTAAGAGACATGTAATTTGTTTGCTCCAGTTGCTTTAGAAATGATTATTAATAATTTTAGTAGATAGAGGCACTTAAATAATAAGCCAGTGCTAAACTTTGGTTTTCGGTAAGTCGATAACTTGATTGTCATGCTTTGGGCGATACGGGTGCAGGCTTGATATTCTCACACAAACGTTATTAAATACAATAGATAGTACATAATATCAGATAGCAGAATGTTAATTGGTTTGCGTGAGACATTATAATAGTAGCAGATTCCAACAACGTTCATGTGATATTTGGTGCGACATGCACTGTGGAGAAGTATTATATACTCGTATTATTTGTTCTTGAGATAATTTCCTTTTGTAGCCATTGATTTTCTTATAAATGTAGTCATGCACATATTGTGAAATCCAAATTTTGAAGATCGGTAATATAAGAGGATTATACATCAGATACGAACTGTACTAGCTAATTTATAATTAAAACTTATTTCACGTTTACTGTAAGCCATTTAATACGAGATATTTATTGAAATTATATATTTTAAGCTCTTGATATTTCAAAGCTGTTATAAGCAATTATCTCGTTCATAAAATATATAACAAATAATCCCTTACTTATAAAAACTACAATCTTTTACATAACTATTTTAACTATTTAAGTGTTTACTCAATATCTTTCCAATCGAGAATTTAGCGCAAAAGAAAAAGACAAAATACTTCAATAGTTAGAATAGTTATGAAAGATTTGAGATTTTTATGAATAAGGGAGTAAACAATTATTACGATATATGTATAAAACCGTTTGAGCCATAAAACAATTAGACGAATCTCCAAAATTGGGTTTGTATCCGCAAATTTTGGAATATATTTTGACTGAAAGTAACATTTGTTCCAATTTTTTATTTTATTTTGTAAGGTTTATTAAAATAAAGTCTATACAAAAATTAAAATACACCGTTACTTTCAGTCAACATCCATAGGTATAAGTTTATTAACATTATAAGTTTTATAATATTTAATATTATTAATAATATACCTGCTGAATATTTCTTTAAGTTCGTGTTCTGACACAAACTGGCCAAGATTGGCAACGAACAGCGTAGAGCAGGGAGGCGCAGGATGCGCGGGGTGCGCCGTCGGCGCCGGCGCATGCGCGGGCACTGCCGCGCCCGGAGATCCTAACGCCGGTGCTGGTAGAACGCAAGCGCCCAGCGTCAGGGGGGTCTACATAAATGTGTAAATAGTTACTTTCATTGTGCACACGTACAATGATCAGGATATAACAAGCTGAAATTCATTGATACTATTTTTATTGAAGGTTCCTGTGATTTACAATCTCATCTGATCAAATGTGATGATGATTAAATATTACACTGTTCTGTCACTTTCTTTGAAACTGAAAATTTAGCACATAAGAAGGAGACAAAACAGTTCAATAGCTATAGATAGGTTTATGAGAGGTTTGAGGTTTTTATGAATAATCGGGATAGAATATGTATGTATATCAATAATTAGTAGTACCGCATTCGAGTATTCTGACACTTCCCTATGGTTGACTGGGAGAGAATGCTTTTAGCATTAAGTCCGCCATGTACACATTTTTGTACTAATGAATAAATAAATATTATTTAAATGCATAAAAGTGGAGACTCTTCTTCCATCTAGTAATCTGATATTGAAACGGTGATAAAGGCTCAGTTCTTGAGCACATCCCCTAAAATTAAGTAAGTATTAAGTACTTAAAAGTAAGTATTTTTGATACAGGTATTTCATACTAAGTTTAGCAGTTTGTATGAAATGTTAAAAAAATAATGAAATGTTCCATTTTTTATGCAATTTAGAATGGCAAACAAGCTGATGGCCCACCTGTTGTACAGTGTTACGAATATTAGATTTCACCTTGCTGTTTTCGTTCTGTTACATTTAAAAAGGTTTTTAATATTATAGTTGTAGAAAGATTTATCACCAGATTTTATGACAAATTGTTATTTAAATAAACCCAGGTAAAGACTCATAAGTTTTTATGTTAAATTTATAATGATGTTAATTTTGCTTTATTAACAGAGGTATAAAATTCCTCAATTTTAAGTAATTTTAGTGGCGTGAACTTAGGCGGATCAGAAAGGTTCAAGTAGGTACACTAACTTTCATTTGCAGAAACACAAAAGCGTATTTGCCACCAGAAGGCTATTCAAATTTTACCACTCTAGTTTATAATCATATTGCTTAAAAATTTTTGTCAATGAAATTTAAACATAATGGTTATAAAAAAATGTTTGGTTAAATTTGCTGTCCTAGGCTTCAGCCTACTCAGCCTTGTGGTAAATTTGCCACTGGAAAATATTTTGCTTTGTATTATTTTTATTTTCAATTTTAAACGGAATAAAAAGTTGTGTTAAGTTTGGTAAAGTTAATCTACATTAAATAAAAATTAGTAAAGTGCATAGTATTATATTATCTGTGGTAAAACAGTGTAATAACTCACGTGGTGTGGCCTATCGGCGGCAGCTAGTCAGAGGTAAGAACGTACGGGCGCCATCTGCGGGTGGATAGCAGGATGCACCAACCCGTGGGACAGTGCCGGCAATTCCCCTCCGTACGCTAGCGGGTGATGCCACAGCTCTGCTCCCCCACCAGGGAAGAATGGACTCGCTAAGTCTGTACGCACATTTATATAAACCATCATGTTGTGCTCTAGAATTGTAGTCTAAATTTAAATGCATTGCAATATTTTTTTGTAATATTAAACACTGCTGGAAAAAATATATTATTTACAGTGTGCTTATGACATGTTTTCACGAATCAGCTAAAGGCTTATGAGATAATATTGTATAAATAATTAAGGTATATTACATGATATACTGTTGGTGTGATTGTATGCTAAAATAATATATATAAAATTCTAATTATACTCTATATAGCCCAAACAATCCCATGAAGTACATAAGGATATATCATTGAAAGTGTTAACATGAAAACATGTAAAAAAGTTGACGATAGTGTTATAGAACCCGACAGATCAATCGATATAGCTTCGCGGGGCTAGGCCTTGCGTGGTACGTGTAAGCGATCACAGATACTTGCCCATTGCGTTTGCTCGACACCCCATTATAATCCTTTCATATCGTAAAGTTCGGTTAACAACAAAAGGACACGAGTGTTTTGCGTGTGAGGATCACCACAAAAATGGGTCGTGAGATTTTATTAATAGTGTAATCGGTATATGATGATATGAGGTTTGGTAGGAGTGCCGGGGCGGTCGAGCTAGCGCCGGGCGGTGTGTGCGTTCGGCGGTACTTACGTCCAGTGAGTGGGTGCATCAATGCGGGGTGTGTAGCTGGCGCGGCGGTGGCAACTGCCGGCTTCGGCTTGCTGACCTTCGTGTTGCTTTTAGCGAACTCCAGCCGAATCGTTTGCGGCATGTCGGGGTCGAATCGGACGCCCTGCTGTGAACAGCCGCGAGCGGTGCGGCGCTCCGATATAATGACCATGGAAGGTTCGGCTTTTGTGTGCTCCCAGCAGATACGTGTTTTGCCCATCGGGGCAAGTGACGTTCGCGTGTTGGGAGGATACTGGGATGAGGATACTGCATTTGGAAGGACTGAGGGTCCCTTTAACAGTGTTTTAAACCATTTGCAATATCCCCGAAATGTAGGAGTTTCGAACAAAGAGTAACCGTGTAGTTTTTTTAATACTTAGGGACCCGCAATTATTTGATATGATAGCATTATTCGATATTAATAATATATTTAACAAAATCCGCGCCCGCGCCTGCTAAGGTGACGGAACACTGTGCTCGGGATGTGACATCAAAACCTGTCAAACAGTGACATGCAATTGCGTATTTACACCGTAAAGTAATCGTTCACACTCCGATGTCGGACGCCTTAGTGTCTCCACTTGATGACCGGTTGTGGTCTATCGATACGTGCATAGGTTTAGCATAACTTAAGATGCGGTTACTCAAGTCAGGAAAATGTTATTTCAAGTCTACAATGAGAATATTAACTATAGTGCTCATTGGCTGTGTTGAGGCATGTGATGAGAAGAGGTTTAGTAACACCGTGCGTCTTATATGTTTTAGTATTTACAGTAGCATATTAAGTTTGTATCGCGTATCTCGGTCTATTATAGAGATACTGTTATTGAGACAATTTGTGGTATAAAGCCATTCATATAATTAGGCGATAATATCGTGTACGTGATTTAACTTTTACTGTGTTTATTGTATGCTATGTTTATTGTTTAAATTCTTGATTATATTTTAAAATATCTCTGCTCATCTACGCCTATATTTTATAAAATTTTTCATATATATGCAAGTTTATAGCATATATTAGAAAAATTTCAACTATATTTAATAAGTACAGTTTATTTAGAATACAAACAGCATTTGATAAAACTAACCTGAAGGTCTTGTTTAGCTGCTTCTGCACCAGCTCGAGTGTGGAACGTGACGAACCCGACAGGCTGAAAATATATTTCACTTAGTCATGTAGTCTGTATGTATATATGTATATGCTGTTTTTTGAACGATAGATATTTAATTATTGATTGCTGAACCTCGTTTTTTATATAAGTATGAGAGCTAATGTCTATAATTAAAACAAGTTTAATCAATATGAATCAATCAGTATAAAATCCAAGGATTATGAATTAATTGATTAGAGGATTACTTACCGACGCTGTTTTTCCATTCTTGCTAGTAACCTTTAACAGCGAACCTTCATAACCCTGTATAAACAAAATTAGAATAATTATTGAAGGTCGTAGAGACTATCTATCTAATTTCTTTATGATGAAACACAGTATGAATCGTTTTAATATATTATTACATTATAATGGAGACCTCATCAAAAAATTACTTGTACCATCAGTTTCATTGTGTCATAGTTGAATTCTATTCAAAACGATTTATACGGGTTAACTACCAAAAAATTGGTATCCCTCTGTGCTAGGCACCGAGGATAACACGCGATACACTAAAACTAACCCTCAGTTTACCTTTAGCCACCTTTATGTGTGCGGTGCCATCCGTACCAGTCGGGGATCGAGTGTAATCCCCCTTATCGGTAGACAAAATCGATTCAATCCGAATATTACGAATCGGAGCATGACATTTGATATTTACGACGCAGTAATCCGAGTCGGGATCTTCTCGTCGCGTGACGGAAGCGATGTTGTTCTATGTTTTATTTTCTCTTGGGGCAAATATTTGGACATTTCAAGGAAAAGAATTTAGTGTCTATTTCTTTTGACATACCTCGTATTTTGATATTTTATTCAATTCACGTGAAAACAGTATTCGTTTTTTTTCATGGTAACCAACGTTTTGAATGTTATGTTGAAGCTCTTATCTTTAACAATATCCGGACCTGTCTTTGTTGGAAAAAGATTACTAATATGTATTCCAAAAGTAAGTCAATTTAATTTCATAAATATACCCATAAATTTGTTAATTTGGATGATATATATCTATATATCCCATGTATACATAATAACACGGGCTGGTGACGTCATTTACTATTTAATTAATTTCATGCTATTTTATCTCATTGATAGAATAGTTTATATATTAAACATATGAAACTATACTATAGAGACATTATTGAAGTAGGTATTTGTAAATTAGCGGAATTTGATTCTGTTTATTTTTAGAGTGGGTGTTACGAGCAAACAGATCCAGTAACATCAAACAAACATCTGGAATAGTTTTCCTATTTGTTGCTTGCTCTACCTATTTCATTCGTCTTTCTAAACAATTACCAAGTCAGCCCCGGTTGTCACACTTCGGTTGTTTTGTACCCAATTCTTTGTCAATATAGAAAAGGGTAGCTCCCTGACCGTCAAATATAAGCTGAGTCATTTTGTGGTCATTACAGTAAGAGGTTTGGGTGTCTATACGTACGAGTATATTAAGAAAAATGTACAGTTACATTAAATATGAAAAAATTTTACCTCATATGCTCGAAACAGTAAATATAATTCCCGAGGCTTTGCGTCCATTGGTAACCCACTCACGAACAATGTTCGGACCTGAAACAATATAAAAAAAAACTTAAGCTTAGGTAGTAAAAATAAAAGTTCTTATTTATATCTTTTCGGCAATAAATGTAAACATATGAGTTTAAAGATTATGTAAAACGAGTAATTATGGATAAGTAGTTGTATCTTGCGGCTTTGGTTACCTGAATTAGAAAAAAAATTATCTTATGTATTAATCAAATATATGGTTTACCAATGTGTTTCCGGTACAGAATAGGCCATCCCTTCCTTTCCTGCGATTGTCATAAGAGGAGACTAAGAGAGGGCGAGAGATGGACAGAAGTGTCCTTCTTGAATGTATATAGAATAAGTTATTTTCTTAAAACATTTCTAAAGCATAACTGCAGTTGCCAAGCGTGGCAACTATTGGCAAAATCCCCCAAGGGGGAGGCTTATGTTTAGCAGTGGATAGTTAAAGGCTGATATGAATATGAATGGTCTATCTATATACTGAATACTGTTTAAATGTGTTTAGGCTTTATAAAGTGATTGAGTAACAAACATCTTATTATTCACATTTATAATAGTAGTAGGAGTATGATTATTATTCATTTAAGTAAAACCAATAAAAACATAATAATGTAACAAAGCAAACAAATTTAAATCAACAAAAATAACATAAAATTATAATAAAGCATCTGTATAAAGAATCCAATTTTAGATTAGCCATTAAGTAACTGATATTTTTTTGAGAAAGCTATTTTCGCTCTCAAACAAAGACAGCGACGTTTTTCACGATCCGCCACAAAAGGGGCATAGAAATCTTTCAATGCCCTCTTCCTCGATTCTTTCGGCTTTGTAAACAGTGCAGCACATTAATTCGGTGGGTCCATTTAATGAAATAAAACAGCTCGTAATGGTGGCGCGATTTGGCGCGTGCGGGAAATGGAGATTAATTGCTGGCAACACCGGCCTCCCAACGCTGGCGCCATCTTGTTGCACAGTTTATTTATGCGTCTGAGTTTCACTTTCGAAATTTGATTTTATTGGCGTTAATTTGAATTTATTAAAAATCTATTTGATGTATTTAGTAGGTATTTAGATAGATATTGATAAATAACTACAACACTAATATGTGATAACATATTAGTGTTGTTGTTAATACAACTGATTTATTAGCACGTAACCTGTGCAGTAACTATTTTTCGTATTAAATAGTCTGTTGTGCTAATTTTATTATTTATTTTATTTTCAATTTGATGTATATTAGTTATACTCGATCAAAAGAAATTCTGTTGATGTCCGTATTAATACAAATAAACGATCGATTAATTGATTATATGTTTCGATTCATTGCTAATTTTATTTAGTGTTTGTGTGGTAATTTCAACAAAACTTGGTTACCTTTACATTAAGTTCTGTTGAAAGACATTATACCTATACTACGTAATTTTCATATTTCGGTGTTGAATAAAAAAATGTATAACCTTATATCATATATCAAGTCTTTTAATTTGTTATGTTTACACTAATACAATTTGAAAATTGATTATTGGTTGTATCAGAACTGTTGCCGGTAACCAGGATTTATTCATTGACCGGAATAATAATATATAGATACATATAATGTCTATTTAAAATTAAATATTGCATATCTGTGCAATATATTTTAGTTTAGTTAGATAAGTTGAGCCATTGAAATGTCAAGGGGCAAAAATCATATTTTTATTAAGACATTTGTACCTAATATTGATAAGTACAAGTATTTGCACTTACAAACATGAATTCCAAATGCTAATAACCTCTAGCATCATCAGGAGTAAGGAGTTTAGTTCTTGTCAATATTATGATTATATAACGAATTTAACTTACAATTTGAACATTCTGAGATTTAAAGCATAACCCTTGCATTAGTGTACTACTAACGGAATATTAGATACGTTAGTTTATTCTAAGTAGATAATGCAATTATTTTAGTGTGAGTGCACACTCGAATATTATATTAATATGAAGAGACATCGGGTTCCTTGCCGTAAGGGTACGGGCGGTGCCCGTTTATATTTTATCGCATCCGTGCCCCGGTCAGTACCAGAATGGCGGACCTTTATGTCGGCTATTTTCCGCTACAACGCACAGGAATTCCCCGTTTCGATGAAACCTTATAAATTTTCAGTGTCAATTCTTAAAAATACTGATATTTAGTTTTTGAGCGATAAAATCGCAAAAAAAAAGGAAAAAATATAAGTACTGTTAATTCGATTGTATTTATAATACTTTTTAAATAAATAGTACAAAAATTCACTGTTTAACGGTATATATTATATTAAGGTTTGGAACTATATGTGGAGTTTATATTTCATTTATGTTCTCCATTATTTAGATATTTTTAAGGCATTTTTTTAAGCTGTAAAACTTATGTCTTATATGACTGATAAAAAATATTTTAGTTATTTATTCAATAACAAATTTTAGAAATAAATTAATAACATCAAGTATAATATAATTATTCGTGTCATACAACAGTATTTTATATCAATATAATATTATTATAAAATTTTATAATGATACCAATCGCTTTATTATCAAAGTATGTTATTCTTTTATTATACAGATTTATTTATTATAAAAGAATAACATAGTTAATGACGGGATTATTTAAAGTCACATTCTAAATACAATTAAATGATCTAATTTATAAAAGTTCGTTACCTAATTTTAAGTCTAGACGTCTATAAATTAAGTTCAAGACCTAATTAACCTACGTTTTAAAATTAAAAAAAAGTATGTGAGCTTTTTTATTTTTTAAAACATAGGAAGTCAGTAAAATACAGCATTATTTTCAGATTATAGTATTTAGGTCTCTTAAAGCATTGACGTTTTACGACTGAACGATAAAAACGAATAATTATCTATATTTTATACAAGTATTTATGTTTATAAAAATAATAAAACTATAATTAGGTTATGTCTCTGCAAGTATCTCGCGAAAACTAATGGACGGGTGAAATTTGGTAACTTAGTTCCTAGGTAGACATATAGAGTATACTTTATGAAGGAAAATGTCTCATTCCTAAGGGAAAACAGAAAAACTCGCAATGCCAACGACGTCGCTGACATACTAATTTAGTTTATGATTATAGTATTATTTTATCTGTGGTATATGATAAAAATTAAAAAATATATTGTAAGATAGAGTTTCTTCTGTCTTAGTCATCGTTTATTGTTGATTATTTTGTCTTTATATTTTATCACAAAGTACAACTCTGTGCCATTTGCATTCATTGACTCCCTGCAATATTAGTATTTTGGATGAAGAGATGAAGCGTAGTTTCCCGAACGCTACCCATCTAAGTTTTATCAGCATCATAACTTGTGTGTATTATGTGTATTTCTTATGTAATGTGTATAATTATTTAAGTATGTTGCTATAGATATGTCACGTATTTTTCACCGCATTCAGCCTTTGTTACGCTTTTGGTTTTTACCTAATGGTTAGCTGGTAGAGAATGCTATATGACATTAAGTTCGCCACTTGTACAAAGTTTTATTATGATATAAAAAATAAATAAATAACTCAGTTCCACTGCTGGGCACCGGCTCTCTACAAGAACAGGATATTAACTATTATCATCACGACTAGCTTTTTGTCAGCTACTTCGTAGGCGCGGATTTCAAAAGTAGGAAAACCAATGAAACGGATTACTCTAAATGACGTATTAAGATAAAATATATGAGAAGTTTTTAAATTTGGCCTTTAGGAAGACAACTGTAAAAACCACATCCAATTTGATGCAGTAGTTGTTGTGTGATGCCAGAACTACAGATAAAATTTCTAAAAATTTTTGTTTGGTTGCTATTGCTCTTATTAAAATCTTTCATATTAATTTTTCTTAGATATCTCCCATGTACAGACATTGTCTAATTACAATTTTATTGTATTAGTAAGATGATATTTTATTATATTTGTATCATGGCTTGGTTTATGTAGTTTTTATACTATTTTATTAGTGTATAGTGTTTTGTTACCCCTAGTCATCTCATACGATAATTTGAGACTCAAGAGGAGTGATCGCGTACTATTTATCACTATACGGAAATGTTACTTGTGAATCTTTACCAATATTTTATTCGTTTTATGCTTTTTGCGTCATAATGACAATGAATGTAAGCTGGTATGTTATCCTTAAGATGGATAAGAATCTAGTTTACTGTTTATCCCGGTCATTGATTGACTGGGGTAAAACGTAATCTATGTTCCGTCTCCTTTTTTTTATAATTCAGTCACGCGAAATGGCGGGGCAAAAATAGAGATATATTATTTCTGTTCACTTTTTCTACTACGATAAGACACACATTCCAGTTCGTTGTTTAAAATGAAAATTGAATTGTCTGGAAAACTGAAATACAAATAAGTACGTCAAAGGATCGCGCACCTAACATATTTCACCGAGGGCGGGGCATCCGGTCAGTTCGAAAATGCCCCACCGTGTCGACCATTTTACACTCGGTTGCCCTCGAATCCCCGTTCCACTATTGAGTTATGTTTCATACTCGCGATGTGAAAGTACGCTATTTCACTATTCAGGGGAAACATTCAGATACCCGTGTATATTTACGATTACTTTCGTTATTAATTGTCCGATTTGATTTGTTGGGTTTTGAGTAAGGTCGGGCGGTTTTAGTGAAAACTATCTACTGTTCCGATCATTGTTCTAGAATTATAAATAATAGATTGTATAACAGAATTAGCTATATGAAATATGACGAATAGAGGTATTGTTTCAGTCTCTTAAGAATAGGTATAACAATAATAGTATTGTATATTTTACTATAGATGAAAGAGAGACGCGACCAAATTTATGAGGAAAGAATAACTGAGATATTCAGAGGTTAATATAAGAGAGAATATATCTACATTAAATAATATTGGTAAGCCGTCAATTTGCTAATTTGAATTATATAAAAAATATCATCATCGTTATATCAGCCTTTAACTGTCCATTGCTGAACATAAGCCTTCCTTTGGGGGGTTTTCGCAGTAGTTGCCACGC